ACATCTGAATTATTAGTGTTGACATTTAAGGCAGAAAACGATCTGTCCATGAAGAGGCTTCTAAACCAGAATGTCAAAAACTTTAATGAAAACTTGAGATGAAGGTTTTTTGTTTGTTTGTTTGTTTTGTTTTTGCAATAATTTCTAGAATAGACCATTCCTAGTCCTGATCCCCTTCCTCACAACTTATACAGGAAGCATTTTGGAGCAAAAATGAAGAGAAGCAGTCTGACTGGGTTTTTTTCTCAAATGGGAAATTTGAAAGCTTGCCTTATGTCCATAATAGTGTTTAACACAACTGCAGCTGTATTAAATATTAACATCCTATTTTCATTATTTTACATTTTGCACAAGTTCAGTAGAGTGTCTAAGATAAAGTACTTGCATTAGGAGAACTTTACTAAACCTGCTGACCACTCAAAGAACTTTAGAGTGCAAGTCTCATTTCAGCAATAGTTGTTTATTCCATGCACATCAATCACTTTATCGACCTCACATCCACGGTCAGTATAGAATCACCATTTAACCCTGCATGTCTTTGGACTGTGTGAGGAAACCTGAGTACCCTGAGTAAACCTGCCCTCCCCCATCTAGAACCAAATAACTTCCTTTTATGAGTTTTTAATAGAAGTGTGTCTACTGACTATTTTGAAGGTGAAAAAAGATTTTAGAAAGATTGTGACTGTTTCTGCAAAATAATTATTTAAGTTCCAGAGTTACCTATAAACATTCATGATGAAATTCAAAACAATTTTGAACACTAGAACCTGTAGTTTATTTATCTGATGGGGCCATAATTTCAAGAATATGTTCCAGAAGCAAATCAGAAATTCTGCAAAAAGTTTTGGTGTAAACTTGTTGAGATGTTGATGTTACACAAGCAGAAACATGACTGATAAAAGTAAATATTTGGTTGATAGAATCCTTTGATTACTGATGTAAATTTAAATAAATGTGTTATAGGTTTTAACTATTGGTGCTGCCCAAGTGTGACTGGGTTTTGCAATGTATTAGAAACAGCTTTCCATCTAACAGCTGAATATATGTTTGAAACATGCTTAAAAAACCCCAACACAATTTCTTTTTAGCATGTATGTTTTCCCCTTCCCTTCGGATGTTATCATCCAGTGGATGTTATTAGAGGTAATAAAGTCCATTGAGTGGACTGATAACATCTGAAGAGGGTGGTTCCTTCCACATTCTAAACAAACAGAAGTAGGAAAATGGCATAATAAAAACACGATATCAGTTTTTTATGCAGCTAAACTTATTATGCACCAGCATTAGGATACACTGTATGTAATATTCATTGGTGATAAAAAAAATTTTTCAACAGATATCAAAGTAACACTGTGAAGAAAGTAACCAATGAAAATGCAGAAACACACTCAGCTGAGTCAATTGCCCCAGAGCATGCTGGGTTCTTTCCTTATGACAACCAGTATTAAACCAGTCATACGGATACTAAACATGGTTTATTAACTCCACATATTTCATACTGTTCGCCTTTATTTCAAAATAAGAGCCCAAACTTATTCAAGGTAATTTAATTTAGGTTAACAAACAAATCATCAACCAGCACTGAAAAGGCAAAATTAACAAATTTTTTACCTGCATAACCCAAAGGTCCCTGAATCCTTGTACAGTTATGATTCTGTCTGTCGCTCTATAAGCATTTATTTGAACCTCTTACCTATCTTTGTGTTTTACACACCATTAGTCAAAGTATTCATATAGCCAGAGTGTCAGTTATTCCCCCAAACAATATACATGAAACTACATGTCAATGGTTTTGGAAAGGGACAATATTGATTCAATGTGTCTGTAATAAAGCATCTTGTGTTGGCCCCATACATCAATTCAGCCCCTGTGAAACATGGGTTGGAGGAGAATTACTGTGCTTCTCTCTGTTGGACTGACACTTTGGGTGCTGGGTCAGCTTCAAGCACCCCATTAGCTGGAAACCATTCTCCACCTCTTCTTTGTCCTGTTCTCTTTGGTCCTCTCCCCATCTTGGTCAGATTTGTGTGTGTAGACGCATGTCATGAACTTTTCTTTGTAAGACTAAGTAAATGCACTACCTTCTGCTACTAAGTGTGGTATTGATCACACCTATTATGGATTTTTATCCCATTTCATGATAATGAAAATAATGGAAGTGCCCTGTGTGCAACAGAATTGGTTTAATGCAGAACACGTCACTGAAAGATGGAGAATGGCTGCTGGGGAAATCTCAAAAACCTACAAATAGCAACGAAATGAGGAAAAGAGTTGTTTTTTTTTAAAAGAAATGTTATGAAACTTTTATGTTAGAAAATACAAAGTAATTCTAGTGTTTTAATCCGGTCGTTAAGCGATGACGTGACGAATCCTACTTCCGGGCCTAAAGTAGTAATAATAATAATAATAATAATACATTTTATTTAAAAATAGCGCCTTTCAAAGCACCCAAGGACACTGTACAACAGGTAGTCTGCGTTTAATATGGCTTTTATGTTGTTAACATGTTTAATGTTTTGTATTTTCTTCTATTTAATCTCAAAAAGCTCCTAAAACAGTCAGTGATCACTGTTAACCTCCCTCGGCTTTTATTACCGCTAATCATTTATTTAAGCTCAGTTTTTAAAACCTTAGCATGTAACTACAGCCCAGCCCATGCAGCAGTATATGAATGACTAACCTCATATTGTGGATGGATTATCTCAGTTCTCCTGGCTGAAGTTTGGTCCTTTTACAGCATCCTGCCATGCGATTACATTTGTTCCTGACCACCGAGAACACTCACGCTAACTTTTATTGAGTGGAAAAAAAGTTAGCTTGTTTATATTATGCTAACGTAGCTGTGTCGCTAGCGGTCACGTAGCACATCATTATATACCAGCTAGCCAAACTTCAGTAACCCTACAAACGTCACTGCTGTTTAGTTTTCTGTCTTGGAAGTGATAACAGAGCTGTACGTTTTAATTTGTTTCCAAAACCCCGCAGTCAGGACATGCTATATTGTATTTAGATAGAAGCTAGCAAGCTAACTTCCTGCTAACTTCTAACGCCGTTAAATGTCATAAATTCCATTTTCATGGATGCCTGGATGTTAAACTCAACTGTTACACCTGGTAGAGCAGAACGCTGATCATTTTATTAAAGATCAAAGAGTTTAGACAGTTTTTCAACTCTCAGTAATGCCATAGTGATCGTTTGATATATGGACCTGCAGCGGAGTTTAGGCCCAGGCACGGCTAGTGACGTCAGACTTAACGACCGGATGATGACGATGATCGTGATTATTATGGTTTTAATCTTCAGCATTGTCTTCTTCTTCTGGACGCTCCTTTTAGGGGTCACCATACAGGATCATCTGCCTCCGTCTGACCTTCTTCCAATCATCCTCCTCTGTCACACCAGCACTTTGCATGTCCTTCTTCGCTACATCTTCTCTGAGGTCTTCCTCTTTTCCACCATCCCTCCTCTACACATGGCCAAACCATCTCAGCCTTTCCTCTCAAACTTTGTCTCCAAACTGCTTAATCAGAGCTGTCCCTCTGATGAACTCCTTTCTGATCTTGTGCATCTTGGTCACTCCCAATGAAAAGCTTAACATCTTCAGCTCTGTTACCTCCAGCTCCACTTCCTGTCTTCTTGTCACCATCATCATACATCACAGCAGGTCTCACTACCATCTTGTAAACCTTCAATTTGATGTTATCTTTCAGCTATCTTTCACCCCTGCCACTCATCTCCACCCACTCCATCCTGCCTCCGTTCTCTTTTTTACCTCTCTTGTGCACTGTCCAAATTTTGGAAGGTTGACCTCAGATACTTAAACTCATCTGTGTTCACTGTCACTGCTCCTTGCAGTGTTACACCTGTGTCCCTCTCATTCAAACACGTTTTGTTTTGCTTCTACTGACTTTCATTCCTCTTCTCTCCAGAGCATACCTCCACCTCTCTGGGCTCTCTTCTTCTCCTTTCCTCTTCCTTTGCCCTCAGCCAACAGTAGCGTAGATTCCACTTGCAACCCGTTAGCCAATGGCACTAACGTAGGCCCACATTTTTTCCCCCTGTTTATTATCTGCATGTTCTGTTTAGCAAAGATTGTATACCTTTTGCTTTTCCTGACACAACCCTACTCATTTATCCGGGCTTGGGACGAACAGGAGTACACTGCCTTGTGGCTTCTTCTTCTTTCTTTTTTTTAGCACATCTTTGTAATATATTTCTGTGCTTTTTCTTCTTTCTTTGTTCTGTCGATGGTGTTATCTGGTTAAATAAATGTCAAAATAATGGGAAAAAGGAAAAATATGTCTGTGAAGGTTCTCATTCATCCAGGTCATAGTCTAAGGAGCTTGGAAAGAAAAGTGTCTGGACTTCTTTAAGGTGCTTGAAGACTTTTCACCTCTCGTCCGAGAAGTTTCTTCAGTTCTAAGCTCCACTCTAAGGTGGAGTGTCCCCCCAAGCGGGACATGGACCCCCTATTGATCCTCTACCCAATCACGCAAGCCAAGGTGTGAAAAAGTAAAAAGGAAAGCATTTGGAAATATTGTTCATATTGTTCGGTTTGAAAATGCTGCTCAGAGCCTTTTGCAATTCATAGCACTTATCATTGTTGTTGTTGCTGAAGTTGTTTTTGGTGTATGTGTATATTTTTTCAGGGAAATGTTTTTAAAATATGTATTTGCTTTTTTATTCTACTTACTATGAAGAAGTTTCTGTTTATTGGTTTGCTTGTTTTTCAGGGGTTAAATAAATGTTGATCAAAAGAGACACTTACCTGGTTTTGCATATAACTTATAACTTAATAGTAAGAGGTTGGATTTAAATTTGTTGCTGATTTCACTATGTAATAAATTCTTCAAATTCTTTCAATAAATTTTTTTCATATTATATTTTCACTAATGTTTACATTGTGTATCTGTATGTGTGTATTTGTGGCGCATACTGCGTACAATAGTCAAATATTACACGGAACCTTTATCCCGCTAACCCGAGTTGCACCCAGAGGAGTGTTTCGTTGACGGACTGTCAGATGACATAATGGTAAACACAGTAAGGTGAGTCAAGAATTATGTGATATAGCTTGTGCAGGGCACCAGTTCCTCCATCTGAAAACACCAGTAAAGCACTAGCGCCATGCGATGGTGCACATTTGAAAAAGTGAGCCGTTTTATCTCGTTTTTAAATGACATTGATCAAGGATGGAGAGAGGCTAGCGTTAGCTGGGAGCTAACTAGCCCCGGCTCACATCACTTTAGCTGGGGATGAGCACGGGCCTTTTTCAGTCAGCTTTAGGAGTGTTCCATCGACTTTCTGCATACATTTATTTCGAAAGAATTTAGACGATGAACTAGACGCGTTAGGGGAGCTGACATGGGCAGCAAATTCATGTAAGTGTCGGAATGTCTAACTGTGGCTTCACCTTTGTCAGTGTTTCCAGCTGAGTGATGCTGACTGTGTGTTTGTGAACTGAAGTGCACAGGGCTGAGGCTGATAGTTTTTCATCTGTACCTGCTATCCCAGTTAAATGTCAGCATAATTATTGTCGAAAGCTGCTTAAAACGAGGAGCTAATATCCTTATAGATGTGATGCATTCAAGCATCTATGAAATGCTTTGCGTTTTTTTAAATTAAAAAGTTAAATATGCTGGTGTGTTCAAGTCCGTTGGTCTAAAATATGGATATGGGAGTTCTATATAAAATAATTTAGAACTCGTATATGAAATCTTGAGAGGAAGGATTGACACTCAGCAATAAAGCAGTCATTCACACAGTACTCATGTTTTTGTGTAATTGGATCCCTAGGTTGGTTCTACAGTTGTGAATGTTTAAATCTGCAGCCTCAATCGAAATAAAAGCTCAGTATAATATTAAAGATGTGACAAAAGTGAGCCCAGGGGAACCTGATGTGCACCTCATCTCTGGCAGATATGAAAATGTAACCGCTTGCCAGTTTAAAAAAGTACGATTTTCATTTTTGTTTCTGTGCAAATGGCTTTGCACACTCATGGCTGTTTCTCCGTCAGGTTCATGATGTTTTCATCTGGAAACGATCCAGCTGTCTTAAAGGAGGTGCCACAGAGAGTGCTTTTTCCACACTCTGCAGTGTAACATATCCCAAACCGCCTCAGCTGGGTTGAGGTCAGGTGATTGTTGATGTGAGGCCATGTGCTGCAGCACTCCATCAGTTTGTATCTCGGTGAGACAACTCTTACAGAGCGTGGAGGTGTGTTTTTAGATTTTTATCCTCCCGTAAAGCAGATGGTGTTCCCCCAACTGAACTCGAACCTGAAGGGATGTTGGGTCACTGAAGAATTATGTTACTCTGCTGATTAGAATTCATCATACATCTCCAACAGTGTCACTACCAAAGTCCGTCCACCATTAAAGAAAGGTTGGTTTTTACTTTTTGCTTTCTTAGCATTGTACTAAGCTGATTGTAGGGCTATGTCAGCATGTGTGAGTCAACAGGAGTTCAGTGGGAAGCTCGATGAGTAATCAACCTTGATGACGATGCAGTATTAGCTCACAGCTATATCTGCAAGCAGATGATGTCATGGTAAATATGTTCATAAGAGATGATACATAGTGTTGCCAATTAAATGGATTACAAGGTGGTCAGTGCTCGCTAGATGTACACAGCAGTGAATTCTTGGTGCAATCCAACTTCGATCATTAAATTCTATCTATCCATTTTTTGTTGTTGTTGTTTTTTTTTATAGCTTTTTTTCTTTCAAAAACACAACCTAAACAGATTGTCATAGCATTTGCTATGGGTAGTTCTTTATTTACTGTGCTTGGGTTTGCTTGAATCAACTGGGTGTTGTGTTTGTGGCGTTTCAAACGTTGCAGAGAGCCCTCTGATGGACAAAATAGGCAAAGCCAACACTTGTAGGATGGAGGAAGGATGTTTCTCCCATTTCTTTTTAAATTGTTACTTATTTGCAGTTATAAATGCCAACACTGATAAATCAGCAAATAGCTAATATTGCCCCACCAATAAATCAGTGAGACTCATATTTCGAGCTTCTCTGATTAGATTTTTGACCACCTTTTTCTTCCAGTGAAATTGTTCACTGAAAGTTGGTTAACTGTGTTCACTTTGCCACCCATAGTCTTAAAATTATGATGATTTCAAATGTGTTGGAGAATTGGTTTAGAGCGACTACACGTTTTATTACAAATATGAATGTTTGATCCCAGTGTGTTTATCACTGCATCGCAAGGGATATTAATGGTGATTTTGACATTACCTCACCTAAAGGCAAAATGTCATCAACTTATTAATGTAGTTTTTTAAAGCATTTTCTCTTTCTTGTGAGAAAACTTTTAAGTCAGATTAGATAGTTAATAATAATTTTTAAAAGTAATCAAGAAAATCCAGGGCTCAGCCATTTCTGTGCAATGTAGTGTTTACCAGCAGCAAATGTTCTAGGACTTTGTGATAGTCGACTGTATAGTCTCGCTTACATGTGCTACATATAATAAATCTTACGTAAAAATGCAAAGCTAAGAAAATCCCTGACATTTTCCCTCCCATGATAATGTTCTGGGTTTTTTTTATTTTCAACAAATTATCACCGGCAAATTGCTCCATGAAAATGAGTTTCAATGATGCAATGGCCATTAAATAATTCATAAGTGGACAAAAGTAAAAGAGGCTGAGCTGTGGAGGAGGGGAAAATCAATGAGAGTGAGAGAGCACAAACGAGAAAGAAAGAAGTGTGTATATATGGAGAGAGAGGGAGCGAGAGACAGAGGAGTGGAGACAATCAGAAGAGACAAGCAGTCAAGCAGATGGATGGGAACCCCACCCAGGTCTGTTTCCTCTCTGTCCGCTCAGTCCAGAGATAATCTGCTGAGGAGGAAGTCAAGTATTATTCCAGTACGAGGAATGATGATTGTTTCTGTTTGCCGAGACGGAATCTGAAGTTGGGGGGTTTTTTTGGCCTAAGTGTGATGAAGATCCTGTAGGTGGGTAGGTGGTTTGATGTTTAAACTGTAACTAGATGCTTTATTACCCTCTTTCATAATTTTAGTCTTGACAGAGACTCTATTTAAATTTCACAAAAGCACCTGGAATGAGCAGCAAGTTTTCTTACTGTCAGCTGTCTTTCCAGTCTTCGTGCTTATTTTGCATACTTCCTCTTTTACAAGTTCCTCTTTCTTTCTTCCCTTCTGTTACAGTCAAGCCACAAACACCATCCAGCTGATGCCCCAGCCGTCACCCGATTGGCCGGAAGAGTGTAAATCAGCTGATGTATGATTTTGACTCTAGTCCCTCAGCAATTGAGACAAAGGAGAAGGACTTTGCTGCTTTTTGCGCCCAAATGTGAGTGTATCTGGCTGCGTAAGGTAGTTTGACACCCAGATTGGATTGGAAAGTCCCAGCTCCTGCCAGTCCTGGCATGAAACCGCAGTAGCTCCCTGGAGAATATACTGACTCACCTAGCAGAGCTAGTGGAGCATCATTAAAAAATAGAAGACTGTAGCCTGGATGAGGGTACTGTCTTCATGCAGAGGGCAGATCGCAGCTTAAGGCAGCAGTTTTTGAAGTTTGTGAACTGCGTGGGATTTGTTTTGTTACTAGCTTGTCAGCATACCTAAAACACCTGCGTTTGTCCAACTGACAGCTGATTTTTGTTTATTGGCTATGCAGATTCTGCTAACAGGGATTTTAAACCCTTTTTGGATAGCTGTCTAGTTGTAAGATTTCCAGCTCAGGGAAAGCCTGTCCTGGTACAGACATGGAGGGTCTTGAGCAGCTGGACATGGTGGGTGATATCAGCCCAGCTTTGGAGGCCACAGAGGATTTCATCCACTGCATGGATAGGATACAAGGCCAAGGTACAAGCCAGGCTCAAACAGGGAACCTTCAGCCTGCCAGACAGTCGAAGCAGCTGCAGGAGGTATCTAATGCAGCGCTGGGCAAGCTGAGCTCCAGTGGCGTGTGGAACCTGCTAGCTGGAGAGCAGCCGGAGGTGGGGCCTCTAGGCCTAGCTTGGGCCGATAACGTCAGTGTTTTGGGGCTAGGAGTGGGTTTGAGGCACGGCAAGAGAAGCCGAGCGCGTTCCACCAATGACTTGGCTGCCCATACCAACGAGTGTACCAACAACACCACCAACTCCTCATCTAACTCTGCGTTTAAGAAGGGACACAGCCGGTCCAGGTCAGATGTCCACTACCGTCCGTCTGCCTGCACCGACAATGGTCTGCCCACAGTGGACTGCAACACCCTGAAGAACATGATCCTCAACCACCAGCAGGAGGGTGAGTTCATGTTCACACTGTGGATAATATAATATATATGCTAATGTGAACAGCTTAGTCCAGCTCCATGGCAGAGCTGAAAAGGTGAGTCACTGCTCATAAGTTAATTGACAGAATGGATTTTGAACAGCAATTTAAAAAAATATTTGCTACATATTACATAAAATAATAATAATGGATTGGATTTTATATAGCGCTTTACAATGCCACTATTCATTCACTCTCACATTCACACACTGGTGGAGGCAGCTACAGTTGTAGCCACAGCTGCCCTGGGGCAGACTGACAGAAGCGAGGCTGCCATAACGCGCCATCGACCTCTCTGGCCATCACCAGTAGGGTAAAGTGTGTTGCCCAAGAACACAACGACCAGGACAGAGAGCCCGGGGAAAGAATCCAGGAAAAGGTCACCAACATGTAGCCACACATCTGAAAGCATATTGATTTGCTCTCCTGATATTTAGATTGTAGTATTGATATTTTAACCTTTGCCTTATGTAAAAATATGTAGCAAATATTTTTGTTAATATTTGCAAAAATATTTGCAAAGTTTACTTGTTAATATTATAACAAGTAAACTTTTTAAATGTGTCTTTCACGTGCAAATGAAGTTTATTCATAATCTGGTACATGTTGATATGCATGATCTGATATCATGATTGTTCAGGGGTTGGTGCTTTCTTTAACTATGTGGTGGATTAGTGGAAAAGTTCCAGGTGAACCCAAACTTTAAACTGTAGTTCTACAGTTCAGTGTGACGTACTTGTACATGAAGTGTTGGAGCCAACAGGTATATGCTTTCCTATTAAATCACCAGTAGTTTTTACATCACCAACCAATGTAAGATTTATGCCACAGCTGACCTAAAATAACTAAAATATAATATAAAATATAATTAGTGTTATCCATCCATGAATTTTTAAATGTACTGTTTAAAAAAAATTAGAAAAAAGTAGTAAAATACATTTTTATTTTTGGATTAAGATGCCAAATTACAGTTATTTACTAGCATTCCTAAACAGAAATTCCACTGTGATGGTTCAATAATTTTTAGTTTTAAACAACTTTTTTGACAGATTTCTAAATACATGTTTTCTTGTTTTTATGAAACCTAATAAATTTGATACGCAAAGTTATTTATTTCGCTTCATGTGTTACCAAGGTCACAGATTTTCAAAAGCATTTTTCCTATGGTGGATATAACTTAACCATGTCTTTAGAATCAAGAATACGTTTTGACACAGACTTGAGATTTGAGACCGTATTCATCAAGAGTAAACATGGACACAGGTTGGAAGAGCATTACGAGTTGTGCAGAATAACAAGGACATTCTTTCTGGAAAGACTATAGTTCAGATTTCTAAATGTACATTTTACTGATTTTCAGCAGCATAAATAAATAGATCCGCCTTTACTGTGTTGAGGAGATCATCTGAAAAGTCATACCATCACTTACATCCAGAAATTAACTTCATGCTATTGAGTCAAGCTGACGTAAGTGAGGAGATGTGTAGCTGCAAGTGAAAACGTTACAAACACTCTTGCCTAATACAGTGTTGACCCTTTGCATGCCTCGCCCTGCTGAGGAGTAGCTTCTAAACCACCTCGTGTCAGAGAGGTTAGCAGAAATGATAAAGTTGTGAGTTGAAACTGTCGCAGGTACCTGAAAACCCAGCTTTCGTTATTTATCTGTGCTCGTGCCACTCGCCATGAAACTCGAGCTGTCAGATTCTCTGACCCAGACGTCTGCCCATAATTGTTACGAGGTAATCAATATTATTCACTTCAGTCAGTGGTTACACCGTTTTTCTCATCTGTATGTGTTTTCTAATTTGAGTTAACTGACCCTTTAATCAGATTGAATTTGCCTAATTGGGCGTTTGTGGCATGGAGAGTTGCTTTGACTCATTGAAGATGATGTCATGGCCTCTGGTGACCAACTCATTGAACCTGCCAGAAATATGCACACCTCCTCCTCCTCTGCTCCTATCGACCGTCCATTCACTGAAAAGCTTTCTCAGCCTTTGAGAGGCTTTGGGAGGACAGAAGTCCTGCACTATTTGTGCTGCGGATCGGGGCGTGTGCTGTACTTAGGCTGAAGCATCCTCAGAGAAAGCAATAATGACAGAAGATGATGATAACTTGAAATGACACAGCTGTGCTATGACAGTCCTTACTCAGGCAGAGAGCCCAACACACACACACACACACACACACACACACACACACACACACACACACACACACACACACACACACACACACACAGCATTTGTTTATGTGTTTTGGCTATCTAAAGGACTAAGGAGATCCTAAGGGATCCTGAGGGATAATAGCCTGTAATCCTGTCAGCAAATGGACTCAAATGAGGCAAGAGAAGAGGCAACCCAATTACCCAGGCCCTGATACTGGCAGGATTATTTAGTATTAGCATATGTGTGAAAAGACATCAGGCTATTTAGTTTGGCTCGATGTGTATTGAAAAGAGAGGAGGAGGAAAAGGACGGTAATAAGCACAAGGCACAGTGATTTAGCTCGCCTTGCTATGTGTCTTCATTCACATTAAAAAAGAAAAGTAGCCTGTTGGCTTTTCCATTAGTGACAGCTGGGGATGTTTAGGTGCTAAATGGATATGATTATCGCCTTTTTATGTACACAATATACATGCATATGTAACCACATAGGCTTTGCTTCTATATTCAAGTTCTATTGTGTTTAACTAGAAAAGCTGCATTGATTAAAAAAAACAAAAACAAACAAACATTGGCAACAGGTGTATTTTTTATGCTGTATGCTTTTTAAAATAATAAACACATTCATACTAAGTCACCAATATTTAACAGGAAATGCAGCAGTAATAGTAAAAAAAAACAACCACGCAAAAGAGCTTTAAAAATGGGTAAGACCTTGAGTTACCCCGGCCTGTACACCTAACATGTCAGGGGTACTTAAGGTTGCTTACGGTGCAGCACGCCTAGGCCGCTGGGAGTGTTTCTTCTTCACTCACCTCTTTTCACTAACTCTGTGTTAATACGTTGCTCTGCATTTAATCATTAGTTATTATTCATCCCTGGCTCTCTTGCACAGCATGTCTTTGTCCTGACTTTCTCCCCTCTTCCTATTAAAAGGGAGTTTTTCTTTCCCACTGTTGCCAATTGCTTGCTCATATGGGGTCTTCTAATTGTTGGGGTTTTCTCTCTAACAGGGTCTTAAACTTAGAATATAAGATACATATGTGAGGTGACTGTTGTTGTGATTTGGTGCTAAATAAATAAAACTGAACTTTCCCTGTTTATGGCAGCTTACTATGAGTGCACTTCTATATACACACACAAACAGTGGAGCTGACAGGACACAAGCACTGAAACAACAGAGACTGTATTGTCTTAGGAGCCCCTTTTGGTTGTGTTAGTTTCTTTGGAAACAGATTCCTCCATGCTATGTTGACTCTCCCCCCCCCTAGCAGCCTGTGCAGTGCTTCTGACGTGTGGCATTGTAAAAACAGATCAACATAGAACTGAGTTAAATAGACTGGCTGATTGTTGCTGATACCTGATCCAGCTTTTAGAGTCAACCCTGGACTGTTGTCCGTTATCTATTATTATGGATTGGTGCATCTCTAGTGGTAACTCATTGGCACAAACAAATGATTCACACTCAAATGTCTGCACAAAGTCATGGCAGACTTGTGACATGCTAGGTTTACCCTGCAGAGTTTGCAGCAGACCTCATTTTTGTTTTTGTTGTTTTAATCCTTTCTACTTTAAGGACTATTAGAGTACTGAGAAATTATGACAATCCCTACAGATTACAAGATTGGCCATTTGAGCCACAGCCTTTGGATTCCTACTTGTGTTTACTTTTAGTTGGGCCTTCTGCTGACTGTGTACATTCATGCTTTCTGTGTTTCAGTTCCTGTTATAAATGTCAATTAGTTTTGACACACGAGTGAAATTCTGCCCTTTCTCAATCTAGGGAGTTTGAACTTGAACGTCCAAGAAAAGCGTTAAATCCAGGTTAAAGGAAGAGGCTAACGATAGCTGAAGTGCTCTCCAGGCTAGTACTGGCTCAATGAGGATAAGCTCTATGATCTAGAAAATAGGTCAAGGGTATACCTTTGTACATTTGTAGGATAGGTCTTCACTTATAGCCGGAAACTTGGAAACAGCACGTAGTTTTAAGCAGGAGTTTGTACCTCGATGAACATAAAGGCAGTAGTGTTACTTAACAACAGAGTGAAATGTTAATTATGGTTGAAGGCTTGAATGTGTACGCTAGACTATTATTGTGTGTGATGTCAAAACCCACCAGGTAGAGATGAAGGCTAATTGAACAGAGCAGCTTTCCTCACCACAATGCCTAATTCTCATCTCAAGCCTCCCAAGCGTGAAGACTGCCAATCAGCCAGACCTGATTTCATTTGCATATTCATTTGTTCCCTTAGCAAAAAAGGTTTGTTAACATGCAAAGTCAGAGACCTAGAGTGACACTGTCAGCTGCTGTTTTGATAAGATTGATGAGGCACTGGACTTGCCACCCTTAAGTTAACAGGGGCTCTAAGAGAATTAGCTTTTTTTTCAACCAAAATGCAGTATGCACCAATTAGACTGCTTGTGGCGGGGGTTAGCAATTAAATCAATTTGTCAGATTTATTTAGAAAACTTGTCTTTCACACTTTACCGAGTTAAAGTGTGTCAGGTCAAAAAGCATGAGTACATCAATGTTTAAATTGAGTTTTCAGCATGTTCCACTTGGAAAATAGTCAGTTTTAACGTGTGTAAGTAACCATTGTTGCAAGAGTGTAATTAATTTTGATGTGAAGCAGGTCCCGACCACATCTTAATGGCTAAGGACAAGAAGTACTTTCTATGCAAATGTAACCAAGGTAAATGGACTGGTTTTCATATAGCACTTTTGTATTCCACTTGAGCACTCAAAATACTTTATACAACATGACTTATTCACACAAGCACTTTTTCTACATTTATACTGCAATGAACGCATTGGGAGCAACTCGGAGTTCAGTATCTTGCCCAATCACACTTTGACACGCAGACTGGAGCACCCAGGGATTAAACCACGAACCTTCTAATTAGTGGATAACCTGCTTCAGTTCCTGAGGCACAGCCCGTATGGATTTTGTAATAATATATCAAATAATCACAGGTGCAGTATAAAATCATTGTTTTTTCAGTCCTCAATCTTTTCTGCCTCATTGAAAGTTCACCTCTTTGTCACCAGTTTCGGTATAGCAAGTGGTTCTTTCTGTTCCTCTTTTAGTGGGGGACAAGTGGGTGTAGGTTTAAAAAAACTAAATATATATGCTTTTTTTTTTCACCTTGATGTTGGCTTCTTTTAATGATGTGAAAGGATTGGAGTTTGTTTTTATAGTGTAGATGCCAGTTTGCAGCACTTTGCTTAAAGTCTAGTTTAGTTTTAACACTGGGTTATAAACAGTTAGAGAAATGAAATTGGATATAAGGGCAAAGTCTGGACAAGAACATTATTGTCACTACAGCGCTCCATATATCTGCTGTAAGTCCCTACAATTGTGGTCAAGTGCATTTTCCAAGCAGATGTTGTGGTCCCTGAAATCTGCCTTAATCTGAACCCTCCTTAATCAATGAGAAAGTTAACGATAATCACAGGGCAAGACTGAAAGAGAAAAAAGAGAAAAGGAAAACGAGTGTGAAACCAACTTTCTGAGGAACAGACAGTGGATTATCTGAGAGAAAATGTGGGCTCCAGCCTTCAGATTAGGAAAGTGGGGCAGACTGCCCACTGGCCTCTTTAACAATACTGTTTCTTCCTGCCTTCGTTACAAGAAACGTTTCCAGAGGAGCACCCGTGGATAGCTATCTCTGACCAAAATACAAAAGCTCAGGTCTGAGCAGTCAGGCTATGATAAGCGACCTCCTTCAGGAAACTGACTGGCCCTGATTATATGTCCAGTGGTCAATTAGACTTGTAACAAATGTGGCAGGAAAAAGCTGCATAAGCAAGTCAAGGTAGGAGGTAGGTCATTGGCTTGGAATTAGGCTTGGAGTTTTCACGTCTCTTTAAGTGCTTTGAAGACTCCCGGGTCTTTTATCAGTATGAGTTCACACTATAGATGCTGTCCATAAAAGGAAAACACCACAAAGAATTGTCTTGATGCATTCTCAATCATCCAGGAAAGTAAATCTCCAAAAAGTTGATTCTGTTCATCTGGACGTAGCGTTTCACCATCCCCACTGACACAGCGGCAAGGGAGGCAGAAGAACGGCACATCAAGAAGGCCCTGAGTAAATGTGGTTATCCCAGCTGGACTTTTGACAAAGTTGGAAAGGCACCTAAAGAAAGCTCCAGCCGATCCAGGAGAGAAGGACAACCACTGCCCAAGCGAAAACCTGTAGTGATCCCATATGTGTCAGGAGTATCGAAGCAGCTGAGACACATTTTTTTCTAAACACCGGGTCTCTGTGGCTTTTAAACCCCAAAACACGCTGCGCCAAAAACTGGTCCACCCCAAGGATCGGGTCCCCCGACACAAACAGAGTAATGTTGTGTACGCTGTTAAGTGGCAGGAGGATTGCCAGGATTTATACATCGGGGAAACCAAACAACCTCTGGCAAAGCGGATGGCACAACACAGAAGAGCTACCTCGTCAGGCCAGGACTCTGCAGTCTATTTACACCTACAGGCCAGTGGACACTCTTTCAATGTGGAGGATGTAACATCCTGGACAGGGAGGAACGCTGGTTTGAGCGCGAAGTCAAGGAGGCCATTTACGTAAAAAGGGAAAGACCATCTCTGAATCGAGGAGGGGGCCTAAGGGGGTACATTCAATTCAATTTCAATTCAATTTTATTTATATAGCGCCAAATCACAACATAAGTCGCCTCAAGGCGCTTCATAGATACAGAGAAAAAAAAACCAACAATCATATGACCCCCTATGAGCAAGCACTTTGGCAACAGTGGGAAGGAAAAACTCCCTTTTAACAGGAAGAAACCTCCGGCAGAACCAGGCTCAGGGAGGGGCGGCCATCTGCTGCGACCGGTTGGGGTGAGAGAAGGAAGACAGGATAAAAGACATGCTGTGGAAGAGAGACAGAGGTTAATAACAGATATGATTTAATGCAGAGAGGTCTGTTAATACATAGTGAGTGAGAAAGGTGACTGGAAAGGAAAAACTCAATGCATCATGGGAATCCCCCGGCAGCCTATGTCTATTGCAGCATAACTAAGGGAGGATTCAGGGTCACCTGGTCCAGCCCTAACTATATGCTTTAGCAAAAAGGAAAGTTTTAAGCCTAATCTTAAAAGTAGAGATAGTGTCTGTCTCCCGAATCCAAACTGGAAGCTGGTTCCATAGAAGAGGGGCCTGAAAACTGAAGGCTCTCCCTCCCATTCTACTTTTAAATACTCTAGGAACAACAAGTAGGCCTGCAGAGCAAGAGCGAAGTGCTCTAATAGGGTGATATGGTACTACAAGGTCATTGAGATAAGATGGGGCCTGATTATTTAAGACCTTGTATGTGAGGAGCAGGATTTTGAATTCAATTCTGGATTTAACAGGAAGCCAATGAAGGGAAGCCAAAACAGGAGAAATATGCTCTCTCTTTCTAGTCCCTGTCAGTACTCTTGCTGCAGCGTTTTGGATTAGCTGAAGGCTTTTCAGTGAGTTTTTTGGACATCCTGATAATAATGAATTACAGTAGTCCAGCCTGGAAGTAATAAATGCATGATGAACTACATCTGTCACCATCTTACAATGCTGTGATTGCAGCCATTCCCCAACTCTCTGTGAATGGTACTCATGACCATTGATCAGTGGTCTTTGATCAGTGGGTTTTGATCAGTGGTTGTTGATCAATGGTCATGAGAATTTGCATAATTAAGATTAAGGAACTGACCTCCCAGTCCATTGTTCCTTTAGTGGGCTGGTTTCAGTCATTGCAAATGTACTGTTTATAAGATTGAAACCTGCAGTCAGCTGAGACTGAAGAAGTCACTTGGATGAGTGATGAAATGTTTCTCCCACAAAACGCTACGTCCAGATGAACAGAATCAACTTTTTGGAGAACCACAAAGAATCCACTTTCAGTATCTCTCCCAACCTTTAGTCTTTAAAGTGTGCATGTAGCTGACTTCATAGCAGTTACAGTGGACTCAATTGCCTCCTCTGGCATCGATCCATATGTTCCCGCCACTCACTTTCTCAACAGCACGCCTCAACACACTATTTCTGTGATCACCTTGTCATGCTGTGTTAGAGATAGCATTGTTGAGCTCTGTTTTATTAATTAGTCCTAAACATGATCAAATGTCAGTGGATTATCAAAAGATTATCAAATGGTATTGAAACACACATTACAGAATTTTTTTTGCAAAACTTTATTGTAGTTTAAGTAGCTTATTGCATGAGATGTTTCCCATGTAAATAATTTTCACTTGACTGGTTTTAACCAGTGTCGAATTGGGTAGTTAAAAAGTAACTAAGGAACATAACGTGAGCATAAAAGAAAATATTAGAAACTAAATTACTAATCTTGAAGTAGGGCATGAAAAATGTTAAGTTTTTATGTGCATGAAAAGCTAAACTTGAACCATGCAAACAATACTGCTGCCAACACCCACAAAAGGAACTCTTGACAGCCAGATGTTAAGTATCTATACTTAACATCTGGCTGTCAAGAGTTCCTTGACAGCCGGGAACCTCTAGGTTGATGTTTACTTCTTAAAGTCACATGCCTCAGATGGTGAGGGGATTGTTAAAAACATACATTTTTGATCCCCATTTAAAACTTGGATGGTTATGGTTGTAAATTGCCAACGGAAAGGCCCTTGTTAAAACAACTGCTTGTTCTGAACATATATATTATTCATTTGTTTCATTTCTACCTTTTTCCCCTGCTCTTCTTCTGTGCCTGTCCAGCTGATAAAAGCAGCAGTAGCAGTGTGGTGAAGCAGTGTGAGATGGAGCAGCGTGAGGGGCCGCGAGGCCGCTGGACACCCTGCCATGTTGAGCTGACGCCTTGCGAGCTCCGCCTGTACGCTCTGGACAGCAGTGCCAACCGCCAGCTGGGCACTGCCTACTCACTGTCACACTGCCAGAGCGTCATCTCTCCAGCACCCTGCAGCCAGCCCGGCCAGATCACCCAGCCCGCAGACCAACGCACGATCCAGGCTGTCTTCTTCAACAGCACACGTCTTCAGCTGAGGACGGCCAGCCAATGGGAAGCCATGGAGTGGAGACGGCTGATTTGGGAGAAGGTGCAGGCAGCCAGACCCATGAGGCAGGAGAATCATCAGCATAAAAGCGGAGTAGAAAATCATCATGTCGTGAAGTTTCCTGCACCCATGTCACCTTCGTCTTCGCCTTCTCCTTCTGGGCTCGACACCAGGCCTGATGGCGAAAGCGACACCCCGACTTCAGCAGAGGCATCGCTCTGTCTTCCACCTAATTCTGTTGTCCTGAGCAGACCCACCACCCTGCCTTTGTTCACGCAGTCGTGCCAGGACGTTCTCCGAGTCGGTCTACTGTACCAGCTGACGGATCAGAACAACTGGCGGGCTTTCACTTTTGTCCTCACCAGATCTGTTCTCCAGGCCTTCCCTACAGAAGGCCGTGGGTCTGTGTCCCAACCTGTTCTCCAGTACTCGCTGGGGTCCTGCATTGCTGTTCATCATGATCATGAGTTAGAGAATGGAGAGCCATGGACGGGGAAAGGGGAATTTTTTCAGGCTGTTTTCCCAACAGAGGTACTCAAACTTCGTGCTGATGGTCACCTCAAGGCCCAGGAGTGGGTGGAGACCTTGCGGGAGGCAGTTAGAACACAGAGGCCTGCCCAAGAAGGGACAGAACCAGGAGTAGGACCTCCTGGTCTCCAAGGGGTGCTATTGAGATCAAATCCATCCAGGGACAGGAGGCACAGGGACGCACAGAGAGCAAAGCGACAGTCGGTCACCACCAGTTTCCTCAGTATTCTCACCTGTCTGGCTGTGGAGAAGGGGCTCACTGCTCAGAGCTTCAGGTGTGCAGGTGAGTGGTTTTTACAAACACAGACAAGTTGAAGAAAATTACCATCCTGAAGGCTGAGTGTTCTGTGTCTTAAAAGTGGCTCTTTATTTTACCTGGTTAAATCACTGTGGCATCTTAGGCTAAACACATAACCTGGTCTGGAGCAGGTTATGTGCAGAGTTTTGGTGTTAAGTCATTTGCAAGTGCCACATTTTGACCATTTTTGTATTTACGGCATGTGTTTTAAGTATAAATTATTTTCTGGGGAACATATGAGCTAGCTCTTAAGCTGGATCATTAAATTTTTATTTCCTGTATCGTAATTAGAGGTGAAATCACCAAATTAATATACACTTTCCTGTGATGATGATGCAAAGCACAGGAAAGTGTATATTAATTTGGTGATTAATATACACTGTTAGTTAATCACAACTGTTAGTTGTGATTTTGTGATTTTCTTTATTTTTCATTTCTTGTTTAATTAGGCTTTTTGCACATTTTCCTCTTCAGTCCCAACAACAATCTCTACAATTACAAGTAACTTTGCCTAATTGGCTCCCAAGACATTATTGTAGGTATACAGAAATATCTTCCCTTCACCCTTTCACCCCCATTGGCCTGGTTTCAGCCTTGTACACGGCCTGCTTGTTTAGTCTTCTCATCAACAAAGTGTGACTGATTATTGCAGTTCTCAGGAAACTCGACTGGACCCGGCTTTAATGTAAACAGAAGAGGCAAGAAAGGTACACGGTCAGCTGGGGCTCTTGAAGTTGAAAATGCATATGATGCCCACTGACCCAATATATGCTCATTAGAGAATAAAATGATATAATACAGAGACGTAAATAATTTTAAATGGCGCACTTATTACTGAATAAAATATGAACAGTGGGTCAGGTAGAAAAGGGCTTGTTGTTACGTTATTTGCAGGACAGTCATATAAAAAAGATCCATTAGGATGGCTCGAAAAACTTTTTGGTCTTGTTTTTGATTGTTTTGTATAAATAGTTTAACACTGTTGCAGATGTATGTTAGCACTATCTTCTAGGTATCTGTATGGATGCCTATAAATGCACCTTATTATGCCAGCTGGTATTAGCTGATGGTTTCAAAACTACAAAATGCGATTTTTTTATTTTATTTTTATTATTATTTTTTTTTAAGTGGCTTAAAACTCCATGTTCATCATGTAGGCTGTGAGCTGCAGATGTCTGGCTCGGATTAACAGTTTGCTTGTAGCTATCTGCTGTGACCTTCATATAGCTACATGTTCATCATTCATTCTTATTTTTTCCCAAGCTGGTGTTCATAGTAGTTTATTTTCTTTAGCTGCACTGTAGATGATGTCTTCTGTGATGATTCTAACTCTTCTGTCAGGATCACCGGATGTTTTTCAGTATTTAGCAGGAATGATTTTTCATTTCCAGGTCTATCGCAGCCTTCTTCTCCTTTATTGTTATTTTTTTATCACTCTTCATACCAATTCATATAAATTGCATTTACTCACCCTAGGTGTAAAACATGGGCTTTCGCTCTCTCTCTTTCTTTCTGTCTCTTAGCAGGGCTTTGAATAATCACCGCTCACCTCCCTTTTTATTTGTAACAACTGGCTTATTAATGCAGAGCTGTTTGAAAAGCCAGCTGAAACAGGAACAAGGACAGAGGCCGTCTGGGGGCAACTGATGATAATTGGTAGGCTTAAAGCACCGGAGGAGAGGAAAAATGGATGAATGAATGAATGAATGAGAGGGAATAAAAGCAGCCTGGGGATGCTACAGTGGTCAGCCCTGATTGTAGTTGTTTGTTTGAAGGGTTTTTGGGTAGGACGGGACAGCTGGATACGTCCATTTTTCTATACAGAGCACACCTCTGCTCTCTCGATCCATTCACTTCCCTCCTGTCCTCCCTTTCTTTACTTTTCCGCTCACCAGTTCTTTCACACTCGTAGCCTTTCCCTCTTTTTGTCTCCCTTTTCTCCTGCTGTCACCGCCTCATTTATTTGACTGTATCCCTTCTTGGTCTCCTACAGTGTTAGAAGCCCGGAAGTCTTTTACAACCATTGAATTCAAGGCCTTGTTATAGAGGTCTTATGTCTTCTCACAGGTTTTTAGCTTTCATTTTCAAGATTTTCTTTTGTGGAAATTGGTCTTAAAATTTCCCTCCCTTCCCTTAAAGTGGGAATCCTGATTTCTATGGATGTAAATGTTTTCAGTCTTCACTTCTTCTTCGTCTTCTTCCCTATACAGTCAATTATCAAAGTAGGTTTTGGGATGATTTACAGGTTTCAGTTTGACATTTTCTCTGTTAATACCATACCACCTTTATTTATAAGGCACTTTAAAATAAACCAGGGTTCACGCTAGAGCAGGGCAATATGACCAAAAGTATTTATCACGATATACATTTGAAAATTTGCGATAACGATATAATTGACACGAGACAAAATACTTTACAACTCCACAACTTTATTAGTGCAAAAAAAAAAAAAATCAATGTATTTTTACTTAAACAAGCAGCTGTTTTTTGCATTAAAGTTATATAAAAATTTAACAGTGCAAATGCAAATTCCTTGCTGACAGTTTAACCAAAAGGCATTTCCAGTGGAAATTGGCCGACATATCCTCAGCATAACCATGTATAATATCCACAAAACTTAAAAAGAGGTTAAGCACACACAATATGGTAATATTATGTTGAAGCACAGTACGTATCACTCCATGAGGCTCCGCCTACGATAGCTGTAATGCTCCGACAATCCATCAAGCGGTGCGGCTTCGTAGCTTAGCAAAGTCGTACTGAAACATTTGACAGATTTTCGAGTGCCGTGTACATAAAATCGTTTCGAGGTCAGTAAACACAACCAGAATTCATACATAAGGCACACGGGATTATAAGGGGCTCTGTTGATTTTCAGAAAAATCAAAGGATTGATTTTAAGTGTGCCGTATTTTCCAAACAACACGGTAATAACGACGGCCCGCTAGCATGCGCTACCAAAAATGTGCTTTGTTGTATATCTGAGGGACGAAAGCTAAACCAGTTCCACACCACTGAAGTTGCAGCAAACCAGTTCTGGTTCATCCGTTTCATTCAACGATCCACTTTCGCCCTTCTTATTCTCCGTCGCCGCCATGCTTTTTCCGCCATGTGCGTATGTAAACAAAGGCACTGCGCGTGCGCGTTTTACCTATATTCTATCGCAATATTTCATTTTCTTATTGTTGCCCAACATTATACCGGTATTACTGTGAATGGTGTGATATGGCCCAGCCCTAGTTCACACAGTGCTGTACATATACAAATACCATAACAGAAAATAAAATCAAACATGTTAAAAATAGAGAATTAGGAAAAAGTAGAGTCATTAAGAGATTTAAAAACAAATAAAATAACTTCAAAATTATCCTAAAATGTACAGGTAGCCGGTGGAGTGAAATAAAATGGGGATAATGTGCTCAGACTTTTTTGTGCCAGTTAAAAGACGCTCTGCAGCATTTTGCACAACCTGCAGATGCCTAATGGACACATCACTAACACCCCAATAAAGTGCGTTACAGTAATCCAGCCTAGATGTAACAAAGGCATGGATTACCGTGTCAAAAAGCAGCCTTGATAAAATAGGTTTTATTTTGGCTAACTGCCTCAAATGAAAAAGGCTACATCTTACAACAGCCCTGACCTGGCTTTCAAGTTTAAGATCTGCATCAATTTTAACTCCCAGATTAGTAATGTTCAGTTGAACGTACTGCGCCAAAGAACCAAGATCCATAGTAGTGTCTCAGAAGTGTCACCGAAAATCCTCACTTCTATTTTTTGCTCATCAAAGCCACCCAGACCTTTATTTCACCAAGACATCTGAACAGGGAGTCTGCTGTTAAACCATTTATCTTTTTAAGAGGAAAATAAATCTGGGACTCATTGGCATAACAATGGAAAGAAATCCCATGTTTCCTGAAGATAGATCCAAGGGGGGCGTAAAACTGAACCCTGTGGACGCCACATTGAAGAGAAGCAGCAGAGGATAGAAAGTTACAAATCAACAAACGTTGGCGTGAGCTGGATAGATTTCCAACACTCTCCATCACCATCAAACTCCAAATAGTGGTATAGCTTTGAGAAGAAAGCTGCTCACTGCTCCAGCAGACATCCAGCGAAGTTGTTCCCCTGGCACATGATCAGACGTCACCAAAGATCTTATACTCTGGGCCTCTTTTGTTTACATTTTAAGTTTGACTTGTTTTATTAGATATGACGCTGTCAAGGGAAAACAAGGAAAGCGATAAGACAATAACAAGGAACACAGTTCATCAGCTGGTGGTTTCAAGTGTGGGTCCTCATTATCAAGCTTCTTCCTGGCAGCGTCACTCTTTCACTCAAAACAGTATTTGTCCATTCATTCTTCCATCCATCTTCTGTCAAACACCCTGTTAGCAAGTTCTTCCTTTTCACTGTGGCTAAGCACTTGCTCATAGTATCTTCAGATGATACTTCTATATATGGATCAAAAGCAGACAACAATTGGATGCATGCATTTGCACTTTAGGTGCAAATAGAAAATTTATTTATTAATGAATCCAGCCATCCGCTGTGCAAATGTGCATCAAACCTCCATCTTTTCAAAAGACATTGACCTTTACATTTTTAGCTGAAAGTAGGTTTGGAGAATCGTTTAGCGTGCGACTACAAGACGGTAATAAGTACCTCATGTTCGGTATGCTACCTCAGCTTTCACCGTTTTCCCTTTGAACTTGTTTCAAGTCTTCTCTTTGCATATGCAGGCTGCTTCCTTACAAACATATCGAGTGAATCGTTGTTTAAAATGTAAAATATATTCAGCTAATTACATATGGGAACTGCTGCATTTTAGATTCCTTTTGAAGGAAATGGTTAGTGTTCGTTTGAAGGCTGTGACTCTCCATCACCCCATAACCCCTCGCCGCACACGCATGAGTGTGCAGACGCACACACACATTGTGCAGAGTGTGCTCTCAGGTTAGATGACCCCTGTTTTTGCGCTGGAG